TTAAGAGAGCTGTGGGGGGAGCTGAGAGTGCAGAGATGAAAGATGAGAAGGTGCACAGTATGAGGGCAATGGATTGGGGTGAGTTGTAGGTAGGGGTGCAGAAGTGAAATGTGGAGGGGGGAGAGATAATCTCTGGATAGGGGTGCAGAGGTGGCAATTTGATGTAGGGTAAAAAGTGAATTGTAGATGGGGGGGGCACATGCTAAGGCAAACTGTGGAATTTGAGGGAGAAAGGGGGGGGCTGTGGATGGGGGGGGTGACCTGTGGATGGGGGGAAAGGTGAGCTGTGGATGGGGTAAGAGAAGGCGAGCTGTTGATAGGGGGGAGTTGAGCTGTTGATAGGGGGGTAGAAGGTGAGCTGTGGATGGGAAGGGGGGTGAGCTGTGGATAGGGGGCAGAGGTCAACCTGTGGATGGGGGGGAGTTGAGCTGTGGATGGGGGAGAGAAAGTGAGCTTTGGACAGATGGAAAGAAGGTGAGCTGTGGACAGGGGGAGAGGGTAAGCTGTGGATGGGTATGCTGATTTTGTTTTTGCACACTGTGTGATACACACTCCTCAGCACTGCACAATATACACCTCTGAGTGTTATGAACTCCTTAGTCCAGTATGTTACAGCTTCATGAACCTTGCATGGTGTGTGAACCTCAGTTCTAAACATTGAACACAACCATTATTTGGCATCACTTTACTTTTCTTCACCGAGGAATGGCGAGATTGATGGTGGGAGAGGTAAGGTTGGGGGCGAGATTGGGGTAGAAGGGGATGGGGTCAGAGAGCTGACTGGGGAAGCCGGATTCCTGCACCTATTCTCTGGGAAAAAAATGTGCACAGTAGGACCCCATTCTGCCACTGAGAGTGAGGTGATGGGGTACACTGGATGGGTAGAGTGGATCCCTAATTGCCAACAGTTACAGTCTAGGTGTGCACTGACAAGGGACCAGGAGGTTATCTGGAATCCAGTTTGTTCACTCAATGTGCACAGTGTATGGCCCATCTCTAAGTTGGAGGATCGTGGTAAGGTTGACTTTCCCTGAAAGCGATCCAGGGCATTGATGAGCGTGACACAACAAAGGTACCCCATGTGCAGGGTGAGTGACCTTGTCTACCATGCCTAGCGTGGCCCAGAAGAACTCACCACGGAGTAGACCTCCTATGTCATCCTACATGCTGGTGCTCAATGAAGGGAACATGGAGGAAGGCCCACCTACCTCACACATGGCATGCTGCCATCACAGACCTACCCCGCTAAAGTGTCAGCATTTTTTTGCTTAGTATTGTTTACACAAAGATTCATTATATATAGGTTTAAAGACACTAAGAGGAGTAAAGCGCTATACTGTTTTAATTTTTTTCTTTGGGTGGGTAGATGTGATACTCGTATTGGTGCTAGGAGGTTACTGGTCGGTGCTAATAAAAATCACTGACATTGTACTAATGGCACTGGGCAGGAAGGAGTTAACATGTGGGGCGATCAAAGAGTTAACTGTGTGCTGAGGGCTGTTTTAATGTGTGCTGTGTGTGTGTGCTTCACTGTAAGTACACTGCTATGCATGGCTCTTCGCACGCCCCCTACCTGGACATGCAAAATCAGTTGTGTTCAAAATAATAGCAGTCAGACATCACTAACCTGATCAATCACTGTTTTTGGTAGAAATGATATTTCTACATGGCAAATAATTTACTAGCAGCTGTAGTAGAGTAATAGAAATCCAACAGACCCAACAGTCATGACATGCATGCTGCTGATTCTGTGTAATTGAATCACTAATTGAAAGGGGCATGTTCAAAATAATAGCAGTGTGAAGTTCTATTAGTCATTCATTCTGTGAAAACAGGTGTCAATTATTGCCCTTATTTAACCACTTCCCGACCGGCCGTTGTATATAAACAGCCGGACGGTGGCACTGCAGGGTCGGGTGGCCGTTTATAAATGGCCTCCCTGCACCCTGCTTGTGCGCACTCCCCGGGAGTGCGCAGCACCGCGATCCGTTGTTCTCCGGACACAGTGAAACACCGATCATCGGACGGGACCTCTGTACGAGGTCCCGATCATGTGATCACTGATTGGCCAATCATTAATCACATGCAGGGGCGTATTTGCCGTGAGGCAAACAAGGCGTTTGCCTAGGGCAGCACTTTTTAGGGGGGCAGCGTGGTGCTGTGTCTTACCTGGCTCCGGTCCTAGTCCCACAACGATCCAGTCCAGGAAGCGCTGCTGGAGGAGGGGTAGAGAGAGGTCCACAGGTCCGGTGCCTGGGCGCGATGTGTGGGCGGGATGACACCCTCTGCAAGCTCCGCCTCCTCACCGGTGATTGAGCGCCAGAACTGTAGCTCAGGAAAGTAACACAGGCGGCCAATCACCGGCGAGGAGGCGGAGCCGAGCGGCAGCGTGGACATCGAGTGAGGAAGTGCCTGGCCCAGAGTGAATGAAGGAGGACAGCTGATTGCCAGGTAAGTGTGTCATGCAGATGGTGCTGCTGCAACCAGGTATGCTGGCTGCAGCAGCACCTAGGCTGGAGCAGGGGTCAGCAAGTTAACTGTCATTTGTGTCAGTGGGAGGAATAGTGCCCCATCATAGGTTTCACTGATACTAATGATGGGGCATTATACCTCCCACTGACACCAATGATGGGGCACTATTTCCCCCCCACTGACACCAACGATGGGGTACTATTCCCCCCCCCCACACTGACATCAATGATGGGGCACTATTCCTCCCCCCACTGATACCATCGATGGGGCACTATTCCTCCCCCCACTGACACCAACGATGGGGCACTATTCCCCCCCCCCACACTGACATCAATGATGGGGCACTATTCCTCCCCCCACTGATACCATCGATGGGGCATCGATGAGCAGAGATAGAGGTTTGCTCACCCAGGATTTGTATATGATGTATTTGCCGCCCTGTACCACCAAGGAAATGTATCTAGCTGCATAATACCGCCACAGGCAGAAATAAACTTCCATCATTCTAAAGGATAAGGCACCATCGTTTTGTTTTATTTTCTCTATATCTGACCCCCAAATTGCATATGGGTGAGAGGAGGAAATGAGAAGGAGATGACCCCTGGAGGGGAATAAGGAGATAAAGCTGGTCTCACAATCGATATATGAGCAGTGGAATAAAGGAGAAAGAGGAGAGCACAGGAGTACCTACATCCACACCTTGGCACATCTATAACACAAAGCTTTTATCCATCGATCCTGGCAGGATCAAAAAGCGTATTTGCCTGAATTCTTTCAGGCAAACTTAAAGGTGAGCGCATAGGAAGACCATAAGGCACCTGGCGAGAGGAAACAAGGAATCACCCTCACTTTGGCACTTTTTTTACAAAGACTTTTATTTAATTTATTTATTTATTACACTCATGCACGCGCACATGGGAGTGTATAGTTGCACAATTATTACTGGATTGATTGTATATAATTAGAAAGCTACTAATTATATGTATCACAAATATTCACCTAATATTCACATTATATTAAGGTTTCACATCTTTCATCACACACATCTAATATATGATGTGTGTAATTCACTGGTAATAATTTTATCGTATTGATTAATTTATGGAATATCACTCATGATTATGATTATGGTTTACACTTGATTTATATATTCATATATTGAGTTTACAAGTATAGAGTGTATTTAGAGATATACATGCACAATATTAGGAGCGCGGCACTTTAAATACCATTTATATCGATGGGGCACTATTCCTCCCCCCACTGACACCAACTATGGGGCACTATTCCTCCCCCCACTGACACCAACTATGGGGCACTATTCCTCCCCCCACTGACACCAACGATGGGACACTATTCCTCCCCCCCACTGACACCAACGATGGGGCACTCTTCCCCCCCCACTGACACCAACAATGGAACACTATTCCTTCCCCCACTGACACCAATGATGGGGCACGATTCCTCCCACTGACACCAATGATGGTGCACAATTCCTCCCACTGACACCAATGATGGGGCACGATTCCTCCCACTGACACTAATGATGAGGCACTATTCCTCCCACTGACACCAATGGTGGGGCACTATTTCTCCTACTGACACCAATGATGAGGCACTATTCCTCTCACTGACACCAATGATGGGGCACAATTCCTCCCACTGATACCAATGATGGGGCACTATTCTTCCCACTGATACCAATGATGGGTCACTATTCCGCCCCCTGACACCAATAATGGGGCACTATTCCTCCCACTGACACCAATGATGGGGCACTGTTCCTCCCACTGAAACCAATGATGGGGCACTATTCCTCCCACTGATACCGATGATGGGGCACTATTCCTCCCACTGAAACCAATGATGGGGCACTATTCCTCCCACTGATACCAATGATGGGGCACTATTCCTCCCACTGATACCAATGATGGGGCTCTATTCCTCCCACTGATACCAATGATGGGGCACTATTCCTCACACACTGACACTAATGATGGGACACCAGTGGGAGGAATAGCGCCCCATCGTTGTCAGTGGGCGGAGCTCTAATAGGAAGGGGTAGAGCCTAAAGAGGAAGGGGTGGAGTTTGCATATAAAGGGGTGGGGCAAATTTAGATGCGGGAGTACCCGATTTTAGTCTTGCCAAGGGCAGCACAAAACCAAAATACACCACGGATCACATGCAAAGTAGTAAGCAAGATGTCACTTCTAACATCATTGCTTACTACGTGTGAAATCTGTGAATAATCACAGAGGTCACATGGTACAAGGCTATTCACAACAACCTTGTACCATGTGACAAGCTGTGACCAATCACAGCTCACTCAGTAGTTCTCAATGGCTGCAAGAATGCAGACAGAGAGAAAGAGAAATGATTGCTTTTACATCCTATATGGCTGTAAAAGCAATCAGTGTAAAAAAAAAAAAAATCTTCGTCACCCCCCAAAAGTAGTACAGTGTCACCATGGTACTGCTGGTACTGACACTGTACTGCTAGGGTGACAGTATGTAAAAAAAAAAAAAATAAAATAAAAAATAATATAAAATAAAATAAAAATGTAAAAAAAATATTTAACAATTATAATTTTAGGTTAAACTAATTTGGCTTATTTATTTTTTTTACTAAAAAGATAACAGAATAAATTTTGGCCAAGATTTATGATGAAATATTTATTTGCAAAATTTTATAAGAAAAACATTTTTTCAAAATTTTTGGACATTTTCATTTACATAGCAAAAAAAATAAAAATCCCAGCGGTGAATAAATACCACCAAAATAAAGTTTTATCTGTCTCAAAAAAATTCATATGGGTACAGTGTTGCATGACCGCGCAATTGTCATTCAAAGTGTGATAGCGCTGAAAGCTGAAAATTGCCCTGGTCAGGAAGGGGGTAAAAGTGTCCGGACTGGAAGTGGTTAAGGAAGGAAGGCAGCAAATGTTGTACATGCTGGTTACAGTGCATTTCTCTCTGAAATTCTGAGGAAAATGGGTCTAGACATCGTACCTTGATTAAAAAGTTGATTAGGGAAAGGAAAACATATAAAGAAGTGCTCAGCTAAAATGATCGCAAATGCTTTAAAATGGCAACCAAAACCTGAAAGACGTGGAAGAAAGCGAATAACTACCATTCGAATGGATAGAAGAATAGCCAAAATGGCAAGGACTCAGCCAACAATCAGCTCCAGGAAGATCAAAGAAGGTCTAAAGTTACCTGTGAGTACTGTTACAATTAGAAGACGCCTATGTGAAGCCAAGCTATCTGCAAGAAGCCCCCGCAAAGTCCCACTGTTGAAAAAAAGACGTGCTGAAGAGGTTACAATTTGCCAAAGAGCACATTGACTGGCCTAAAGAGAAATGGTGCAACATTTTGTGGACTGATGAAAGTAAGATTGTTCTTTTTGGGTCTAGTGGCCAGAGACAGTTTGTCAGACGACCCCCAGACACTGAATTCAAGCCACAGTAGACTGTGAAGACAGTGAAGCATGGTTGCGCAAGCATCATGATATGGGGATGTTTCTCATACTACAGTGTTGGGCCTATTTATCGCATACCAGGGATCATGGATCAGTTTGAATACATCAGAATACTTGAAGAGGTCATGCTGCCTTATGCTGAAGAGGAAATGCCCTTGAAATGGGTGTTCCAACAAGACAACGACCCCAAACACACCAGTAAACGTGCAACATCTTGGTTCCAGACCAACAAGATTGAAGTTATGGAGTGGCCTGCCCAATCCCCGGATCTTAATCCAATAGAAAACTTGTGGGGTGACATGAAAAATGCAGTTTCTGAGGCAAAACCAAGAAATAGAGAAGAACTGTGGAATGTAGTCCAATCATCCTGGGCTGGAATACCTGTTCACAGGTGCCAGAAGTTGGTTGACTCCATGCAACACAGATGTACAGCAGTTCTCAGAAACAGTGCTTATACAACTAAATATTAATTAAGTGATTCAAAGGAAAGCAAAATCTTCAAACATTTTTCAGTTTATATAGTGAATGTTTGAGTTTGCAAAGAAGAATACAAACACTGCTATTTTTTTGAACAGTCTAATATTCACTTTTCTTCAATTTTTTTAGAGGAACAACACAAATTTGATATATTTTTCTTCATGTTTTGATTTGGAATAGAATGTGTAGTGTTTCCAATGCATTTGTGTGTATGGAAATAAAAGCTATTAGAAGGATTTTGAGCTTTATTCACTTTTTTCAATACACTGCTATTATTTTGAACATAACAATATATATATATATATATATATATATATATATATATATATATATGTATATATATGTGATTTTGTGCACCTGTGCCACCCTGTAGCAGTATTACTGCTATAGGGCGGACAGGAAGCGGTTAACATATACAGTATTTACAAATTTCACATTTACAAAAGTGCAAAATTGAAAAAACCCACTTTACTTCATTTGCAATGTTTTGTTCCAGAATCATAAATTTAGCGTCATTTTAAACAGGACAATTTACAGATAAATATTTGCACTTTTTATGTGTAGTAACACTATTTTTAAACTAACACTGCTGAAAAAAAGAAAGTGTGCTTTGTTACATTTTGTTACATTTATTTGTTTGAGTTTTGCAAAAAAAACATTGTTGCAAGACAATATTCACAAAAAGAAAGCCTTGTTTGTTTTTTAAAAAACAATATATATATATGTATATATATATATATATATATATTATATTTTTATCTTTTCTTCTTCCCATCTGGCCCATGCACATAAACGGCCAGACAGGAGCAGCGCCAATGTGGGTAAATGTTTCTAAGCATCCCCCCACATCTTCAGCCTGTGTTCTGCCAGACACAGCGGAACATGGACCACTGTACTGGGCTGCTGTGGGCGGCCCCAGTACCATGTGATAGCTGATTAGCCAATCAGTGATTACATGCACAGTAGTAAACAAGATGTCATTTCCTGGCATCATTGTTTACTACTGTGAGCTCTGTGTTCGATGACAGAGATCACATGGTATTCACTGCAGCCATTCACAGTAGCTTTGTTCCATGTGATAAGCTGTGACCAATCACAGCTCTCACAATATTTTTCAATGGCTGCAGGAGTGCAGCCAGAGAGAGTGAGAAATTATTGCTTTTACAGCCAGCATGGCTGTAAAAGCAATCATAGTGTAAAAAAGAAAATCCTGATCACCCCCCACAAGTAGTACAGTGTCACTGTGGGGCAGGGGCGGACTGACAACTCATGGGGCCCCTGGGCAATAGTGGATCATGGGGCCCCTGTGTCCTTGCCCACACTCAAACTACACCCAAAAAAGCCTATGAAAGGTACCAGGGACATCTCATGGGGCCCCCCTACTGACCCCGGGCCCTCGGGCAGTGCCCGAGTTCCGCAATGGTCAGTCCGCCCCTGCTGTGGGGTACAGTGTCCATTCCCCCCCCCCCCCCCCCACACACACAAATAAAATCTGGCAAGCTCAATGGGCCACTCAGTCTTTTTCTGCTGTCACTTTTCTACGTTTTTATGTTTCTACGTGACGGTATGTAAAAAAATAATAAAAAAGTAGAATGTAAAATAAAAAATTGAGAAAGGATAGAATGAAGAATCCCTGGACTTCTGAGGAGGAAGAAGGAAGTTTTTGGACTTTCTTCTTCTTCCTTCAGAGTCTCCAAGACAGTGGGAAAGCCCCCCTGCCTTTCACAACACCCCAAAACCGTAGAACAGTTTATAAATAATGTATATATATATATGTGTTTGTGTGTGTGTTTGTATTATTTGTGTATAATATATATATATATATATGTATTATTGTGTACGTGTGTACTGAAGAGAGCCGCCACCTCAGCAGAGGTAATTTACCACTGTTTACTAAACTGACAGCTGTGTGTTTTACTGATATCTTGTTACTGTAATCTCACTATATCACGCAGGATTACAGCAACAACAGTCGTTTTCCAGAGTTCAAAGCGTTTGTAGATCGGTTCTTTCCTCATCAGGAGAAGTGATCTACACTGCTTCATAAACAGACAGTTAAAGGAGAGCTGTCTCCTCTGAGAATGCTGGAGAACTTAGCAGCAGTCATTTACCACTGCTTGATAAACATACACCTCTGAACTTAGCACACTCCTGAACTATGCATTATGTACTTAGAGCACTCCTGAAATCTGTATTCTGTATGTAACGCACTCCTGAACTTTGTAGGTAGCACACTCCTGAACGCTACACTCTAGTGACAGAGTGAGTATGAACAGCATGTAATACACTCTGTACCCTGCATTCTGTGTGTAGTGCACTCCTGACCTCTGCACTCTGTACATAGCACCCTCCTGAAATCTGCACTCTGTACAAAGCGCACTCCTGGACTCTTCACTCTGTACATAACACCCTTCTGAACATTGCACTCTGTACAAAACGCACTCCTGAACTTGCACTCTGTATAGAACACCCTCCTGAATTCTGTACTCTGTGTGTAGTGCACTCCTAAACTCTGCACTCTGTACATAGCACACTCCTGAACTCTGCACTCTATATATAGCATATTACTGAGCTCTCAGTTCTGCACAACCTGAACTCTGCACTTTGTACAGAGTGCACTCCAGAACTCTGAATGATCATCTCAATTATTCCTCTAATGGCAAAATGATCATTCCAGTCAGCCGGCACCTAGACTTGTATCATGGGTTTGACACGCCTGTGGTCTCATTTATAGTGTTAGAAGTTGTCCCAAGGGACCCCAGAGGGGGTAATTGGGACAAAAGAACTTTGCAAAATGAAATCTTATGAATAGAAAGATTACATGCTACAAGTCCACCAGGATTAAACAAAGTACTTTCTTATAAAACTTTTATGTAATAGTGCGAAGTGCTTATTAAACAGCTTTCAGGGTCCATTCCAGGTTTGCACTGATTGTCCTGTTAGAATGGGTTTGTCCATCGATTGTACGGGTTTACTAGATGCCTTTAGTTCTACTGTTTGTTGTATTTACATACTGATACGGGAGAAGGAGAATGGCTTCTGTTGGGCTCTCTATGTTTTGGATGTGCGGCAGCACATGGACACAGTAACCTTCCATTATTATACTGTTACAGATTCTCTGCATTGGTTTGGGATCATTGTGAATAGCCCACCAGTGGTACTTTATATCTTGTTAATGCTGTTTGGCTGAAGTTATCTGTGGCCTGGCTGAATATCCATATGCTTTATTGTACATGCAAGTACATGATTGGACAGAGGACTGGAGTTACTTTTATACACCATGAAGGTGAGCGGGCAATTATTTGGATTACCCTTAAATGCGTGGGGTTTCATTTTCAATTATATCTGCTTTCCCACCACCCCATAGCATACGTATATATACGTGATTTTGTAGTTCTGGGTAGGGGGGCGCATGAGCCGCTGCTATTCGTGGCCTCGGCTGTCAATCACCGGGTCCTGGCCGGTGATTACTCACCGGCACACAATGATCGTCGAGTATCTCCTGCACCAGGCGTACACCCAGAGATGGACGCGGTTCAACCATTTTGGCTTCAACCTCCATCTTGGCAAAGGGGTTAACCATCCTGACAAACATATTTCCCCCTCATTCTCCCCCTTCCCTCTCTGAGAAGCACAGTGATATTTGGCCAGTGTGTGTGTGTGTTAGGATTGTCACAGGAGGCCAGAGCCAAGCAGGGGACTAGGAGCTATAAAATCCCCAAGGGAGCTGGGGCCTCGCTGTCCAAAGAACCTGTGCCATTTATCACCTCGTAAAAAGATAACGCAGCCTTCCCAGGAGTTCAAAAGACATTGAACCAGATAACCTTTTTAAAAATCCATTTTTCCCCTATGTCTCCTATATTGGAATATATGAGAGATTTACATAAAAACCAGGCATATCGTCAGATTGGCCAAGAGGAAACGAACATTTTGATGGGCCACTCTCTGTGGTTGGAATACATAGGAAAGCAGAAAAGTAGATCTCGTGAACCATTCAGTGTAGAATTTCATATTTAATATCTAATCAATCCTCAGACGTGTCTGCATAATAATCTACCCGCGGGTGGAGTGTCACTTATGCATATGGAAAGTTATGAGCCAAAGTATGACTAGAGATTTTGGCTCTAGTTTAGGTCCACGCCCAGATGATCCCTCCCTAATCATCTGGTTATTGGTCCTTGACTTCAGAGACACCCCCTGCTGAGGAACTACAAACTGGGTTGTCAGGCCTAAGAAAAGTTAAGTTGAAGAATTCTCCCATTTTGACATCAGGACCACCTGGGGAGACCCGTGCCCTTTCGCTCTGAAACTTGATCTGCTAGCCCAGGACTTTGGCAAGTACTTTACCCTGTAACCTCCTTTCTGTTATCTCTCTGCTGTGCTGTTGTTCTCTGTATATTTATATATATATTGGTTACATCTTTTTTTCTGTAAATATTTTTATTGCACCGTTTGACCTTTTAGTAATAAATCTTTCCTTTTGAAAGTGTTGAACTGTTTCTATAGCTCTTAATTGCAATTCACGAATTCCTGCCTCTAAAAGAGCGCTACTGTGTTTGTTTAACCCTCTGTATAACCGGCCTGCGGTGACCGTGTTATACAGATGATTATCTCAACCATTATAGTGTTGTAACTGAAATCGCCGAGTTTCCTCTTTCTCTGTACAAAAAAGAGGTGGTGGCAGTGTGAAGGGTTAATTGCTTAATTAACCTAACACAGTAACAATCGCTCAGGCTGCTGGTACATATATTGTGGTCCAATTAGCTGGAAGGGTGCAGCTGGGTGTGGCATTGTTATGCACGTGACATCGCGGTTTTAGATTGGCTAGTCCTTTGGTCACTAGTTTGGGGAGAAGGGATAGGGTCTGACGCCGCGGTCGTCAAATATTGGTGGCAGCAAACGTGGGATCGTCACATATTGGTGGCAGTGATCCTGGGTTCATCACATCTCCGACAGGGGAGAGACCTGTATGTAAACAATACAGATCTCTCTCCTGTCAGCGCCTGCACACTGCTTTGTATACAAAGCAGTGTGCTTACAGTTAAACACAGACACAGCCGACATAGTAGAAAAGCACACAGTTAACCCTTTGATTACCCCACATGTTAACCCCTTCCTGCCCAGTGCCATTAATACAGTATTTTTTATTAGCACTGATCACTGTATTGGTGTCACCGGGTATGTCAGTGACACCAAATCAGTTCCCCCCAGTGTCAGAATGCCCGCCACAGTCCCGCAGTCCTGCTATAAGTCGCTGATTGCCTCCATTACTAGTAAAAAAAAAAATTCCAGTATCCATACCGTCAATTGTATGGATACGCTATAACTTTCACGTAAACCAATTAATTTACAAATATTGGAATTTGTTTTGGCAAAGAGATGTAGCAGAATACATTTTGACTTAAATTTATGATGAAATTTGATTTTTTTATTTTTTTTACTGGACATGTTTAATAGCAAAAAGCCAAAAATATAGTTTTCTTCTCAAAATTGTCGGTGTTTGTTTTTAAGCGCAAAAAATAAAAACCACACAGGCAATCAAATACCACGGAAAGAAAGCTCTTTTTGTGGGGAAAAAAGGATGTTAATTTAATTTAGTTGCAGCATTGCATGACCGCGCAATTGTCAGTTAAAGTAACGCAGCGCTGTATCGCAAAAAATGGCCTGGTCAGGAAAGGGGGTAAATCCTCTGGAGGGCAAGTGAATATTAACAAGATATACTTCTTTCGTAAGCTCCTGTTAGTGTGGAAGCAAGCTACTTGGATTATTAGTACTACTCTTTCCAGCTTTTTTTTGACAGATGATGCTCACCAATTTTAAATCAATATAGTGAGGGGTTCAGATTCTTCTTAATGGATTAAAATTCTTGGATTTATATCATGTTACAGTATGTAAATCCCACATTTTTTGTGAGATTATGACATATAAGCACGTTATTATAAGCACTTTACAACCCTTTTGATGCTTCCTAGGTTGTTGTTCTTAGATGTGCCCCTGCATCCACAATTGAGATTCGCCATTTGGCCAATTGTTTCTTTCGCTACATACTTTTTTGCTCTATGCACACTGGTATTTTGTAAGTGAAATCATATGATATGATTATGTATTCTATAACAATATTTATGGATGTTTTTAAAACATACACTGATTTTGTGTCTTATCTATGTAGATGTCATGTTCAGGGGTGGACTGACCATTTGGAAACTTGGGCACTGCCCGAGGGCCCGGGGTCAGTAGGTAACCCCATGAGATGCCCCTGGTATTTTTTTCATAGGCTTTTTTGAGTTTGAGCAAGGACACAGGGGCCCCATGATCCCCTATTGCCCGGGGGTCCCATGAGTTGTCAGTCTGCCCCTGGTCATGTTATTCTCCTGAAGAAGCGCACAACCGCAAAACATGCTGAGCTGGATCTAGTCATCCCAGGCTGTAGCTATCCTCAACCACACTATAATATATTGGACACTGCAGGTTCTGTCTTGCTAATTCTAGTTTAGGTCGAGAGGCTGTGATAATCCCAGGGAGATCAATACCTGTTGATTTGCATACTGCAATTTTTTATAGACCACAACTTTTAGCTATGTTTTATATATACTTTTGTATTTTTTTATATGTTTTTTATATACTCAACGCTTTACTAAAAATTATGTATTTTAAAGGGGAAAAAAAATTATATATATTAGCAGAGTGTCTCACAGGGAGCCTGGAAAAGTCCTGTTCGGGGTTTACATATCTCTGAGGCTCCTCTCATACACTTTTAAGCTGGCCATACATTATACAATTTTCTTGTACCTTCCATTAGATTTAACTGCCTGATTCAGGGGCTGGCGGACAACGTTTGGCTCAGGGGGCAAGTACAACCTAGAGGCCCATGTTACAGCAACTCAGCCCCCTCTCACTCTCTCTCTTCCCTGCCTGCCTCCACCCCCATCCCAGGCTGGAGCTCTGCTCCAGGTACTCTCTGTTCACCAGGCGGGTCAGGCTGGACAGTGCCTGCTGCACCGACTCCAGGTTCCTGAATTAGCTGGTAGGGGGCAGCCTGGGACTGCAGAGGGGAGCTGGGGCAGCTTAGTCAGGGCTGGCCAGGGGAGGAGAGCCACCAGAGAGACATAAATTTGGCCTCTGCTTGGACATGGTGTACATCATCCATGCTGAGGGGGGAAAGCCTGCACTCTGTCCTCGTGCTCATCCATTTGGTAGGACACTGATGGGGATTTTTTTCTCCTCTTCACCACAGGAGAGTTTTATGAAATCAGTGGGCCTATGTGGAAGATTACAAATTGGGCCTCATTGCTTGATTAAAAAAACAAACAAACAGCAAAATCTGATGTGTGTTTAGTGCACTGTGGCAAAGAGTGAGCATGGTTTCCATTGAGGCTGGGGTGTAACTATGATTGTAAAAGATCTGGAGTGTGTTTGGGAACATTAAATAGAGAATGGCGAATTGTGAGGGTGGCCAAATTGCACTGACAGTGGGAGGGGCTTAAAAGGGTGTGGTTACCCTAAAGGGGTGTGGTTAACTAAACCAAAAGTGTTCTTGTATCCATAATATATGCTTAGATTTCTGTATCACAAGCAAGAGTCTCACAGACATGTATAAACGTCAGCACAATCAAATTTTTTTTAAATGAACTCTTCTATTACATATGATTTTGTGTACACTGAATATAGACAATGAACACTTTAGTCAGATGTATGCAAAATACAATCTAATGTATATAGCGCAGGAGTCATAATGTACAATATAGTGTATATAATTCAGGAGTGTGTATTACGATAAAGTGTATATTGTATACAGCGCAGAAGTTGTAAAGTGACCATAGATGGTTAGTTCTTTGACAATCCCCCCAAGTCTACACACACCCCCATTTGCACAACCCCCCATTCTACACAATTCCCCCCAGTCTACACACCCCTCCATTTGCACAACCACCCATTCTACATAATTCCCCCCCCAGTCTGCACAATCCCCCCTCCCCAGTCTGCACAATGCCCCCTCCCAGTCTAGACAACCCTCCCAGTATAGACAATCACCCCCCCCCGGTCTGCACAATTCCCCCCAGGTCAACACAATCCCCCCCAGTCTGCACAATCCCCCCCAAGTCTACACAATACCCCCTCTAGTCTAGACAACCCCCCAGTATAAACAATCATCCCCCCCAGTCTGCACAATTCCTCCCCCCGGTCAACACAATCCCCCCCAGTCTGCACAATCCCCCCGCCAGTCTGCTCACTCCCCCCTCCAGTCTGCACAATCCTCCCCCCCAGCCTGCACACCCCACCCCCCAGTCTGCTCACTCCCCCCTCCAGTCTGCACAATCACCCCTTCAGTCTGCACAGTCCCCCTCCAATTTGCACAATCCCCCCTCCAGTCTGCACAACCCCCCCCCCCCCCTCCAGTCTGCACAATCCCCCCCTCCCCTCCAATCTGCACAATCCCCCCCCTCCAATCTGCACAATCCCCCCTCCCCTCCAATCTGCACAATCCCCCCTCCCCTCTAGTCTGCACAATATCACCCTCGAGAGAGGAGAAAGAAATGAGAAAGAGAGTAGGGAAAGAAGGGGCAAAGCAAAATGGAGTGGGAGGGAGAGGGGAAATGTTGAGGGTGCAGAAGGCTCATTCACCAATTATGTTTCCCCCTTCAGGATGGTCTCCCACTGGTAGGCTGAGCCAGGGGCGACTGACAAACTCATGGGGCCCCCGGGCAATAGGGGATCATGGGGCCCCTGCGTCCTTGCCCAAACTCAAAAAAGCCTATGAAACCAGGGACATCTCATGGGGCCCCCTACTGACCCCAGACCCTCGGGCAGTGCCCGAGTTTCCAAATGGTCAGTCCGCCCCTGGGCTGAGCATAATGCAAGCATTGCATACTGGTGGCTGGAGTGTGGGCAAGGTTGAGCAGAAACAAATGGGAGGTGGAGTGTTGGATTGGACAGGTGGCAGAGTGAGGGAGCATGATGGGATGGGTGACAGAACAGATACACCCTGACTCCTGGACAAGCTAGCTTTCACTGCTCTATCTCCTGCATATCAGAACACCAGGCTGTGGTGGCCTGATCTAAGTAACACTGTCAGGAAAAGTAAAAGTGATCGCCAGGATGAGCAGCCAAAAATAGAAAAATAGTGCCATGGCTGCTGTGGCAGAAGCAATGAAGCCTTTTTACAGGCCATCAGAGCGGCCTGGGAGGTAACTGCCCCCCAACCTAACTGCATACAAATTGAAAGTGTTTAGGTTTGACCTCATATTATATGGTTTAGATAAATCAGAAGGAAAATTGTAAAATGTATGTCCAGTCTTAGAGGCCTCTGATTCTCTGTCCATTCTGGGTTTTGCACCTCTTCCTTTTAGCAATTATAGGATCACTTATAACTCAGACTCAGTGCCCTAGAGCCTGGGGAACTGCGAGAGCTGCAGGTTTGGTGAAAACTGTAAAACTGCTTATGTGGAGACGGATGAGCATTAAGGTGGGAATACACAATTACAAAATCGACCGATCAGTCATCCGACAACCGAGATGCGTTCGTTTGTTGGTCGAAATCGTGGCCCACATTAACCAATCTAAAAAATCATTCGTCGGGCAATACGTAGTATTGACGTCTTCCGTACAAGTGGAAGTGATGCGGTGTGCGTGTGACCTTGTAACCACGACCTTCCAGCCAGAACGAGCGATATACACAACAAGTAACAGCAATGAGTATAATATAGTTTATTACATGAACTATATACATAAATAGTGATACATAAAAATAGAATATGCAGAATTCTGCTTTCATTATCTCATTAGGCCAATCTACTTTTAACATTTGGATTTTTCGTTCGTGTTTACAAAGATTCCTTGGACATAAACATTCAAGTCATCTTCTGTTTCCGCTCATGCCTGATCCGTTTCTGCTTGTGAGCATTGGTTAGTGGTGGCCGAATAGAAGGTTTATGCACAGTTGCAAGACTCTGGAGGGCTCTACACCTTGATGTCCGTGGGACTCCAGAGGCACCAGCAGCTTCAAATATCTGTTTGCTGCTATGTAATGGTATTTTATCAGCTGCTCTCTTGATCCGATGCATGGATCTGGCAGAAATCTTCCTCAATGTGCCTTTATCTGCATGAACCCGTCTGTGCTCTGAATCAGCCACAAATCTTTTAATAGTGCAATGATCACGCTTAAGTTTTTGTGAAATATCTAATGTTTTCATACCTCGTCCAAGGCATTGAACTATTTCACTCTTTTCGGCAGCAGAGAGATCCTTTTTCTTCCCCATATTGCTTGAAAATTGTGCTCTGCTTAATAATGTGGAACACCGTCGTTTAGTAGTTTTTCCTTAAATTGGGCTCGCCGGCCAATCTAATTATCACAGGTGTCCGAGATTGTTTTCAGTGATCAAAAGAGCCCTGACACACAATGCCATCCATGAGTTAAACTGAAAAACAAAATTTTTAATCTTTGTGACACTTAAATAGAATTTGCATAATAATTCGGAACAGGGTGTAGGCGAGCTCAGCCTGATAGTTAGTATGTGGATTTGTGTATTTAGTGCCCAGACATGGATAGGATTTTGTTTTGGAGTTTTTTGCCTTGTTTATTTTGTGGAACACTGCACAACAATGGTAAATAGACAATTAAATAGCACCAATAAACACAGCACTGTGTGTCACTACATCACTGGACTGGCATCTGTGCCTGAAAGGGTGCTCACTCCAGGGAGCTTTGTACCTGCTACCTATCCTCCATATATATATATATATATATATATATATATATATTTCCAGCACAGTGCTACCGCAAGAGAAGGTAAAATCTCTTGTCCACTACCTGACTGGTCCACACCACAGTGTTACACTGGTGTGCACTGAAAAAAGTAGTGTATGCGTACATTTTCAGTACATTGTGAGGCAATCTAGTGCCTTGCATCACAGTGTGGCCAATAGAACTCAATGAAATGTCATTGTGTGGCATTTCAATAACTTTTATTTAAAAAAAAAAAGGGAACAATATAATGCACTGCAATTGGCGCATCAGTACCGCACACCAGCCTCTGCATTCTAATGCAGCTGGTGGTGTGAATGCATCCTGAAGGTCATAAAAGTAATTTTATGTTTCTGTTTTTATCATTCTTTTTTTTATTACATTTATGAATGGATTTGTGTTTGTTAACAAATCCATTCATAGTAGAGTGGTCAGTCACTATTGTCCTCACTTCAGTTTTCTACATTCATATGAAAGGCTTACGACGAGATGTGACAGTTTAATTCTCGGAATGCCCATGGCGTAGCATTATGGTGGTGAGTCACATAGCCATTCAGACTCAAGTGTGCTCTGACATGTTCTAACTTGCACTTGCCTGGGTGGCAGACCAGTTGACTAAGTCTTTACAGAGTAGTAGAAGAAATAATATGCATGTACATTGTGCTGTTGGAGGAAAATGAGCAAAAGGAATTTGGAGCTGTGGATTGAGGCTCTGTTCACACCAATGCGTTTTTTAGTGCTTTTTGCAGAAACGCACTACAGTCCATTTAACATGGTTTCCTATGGAACATGTTCACATCTATGCTTTTTTGAGCTGCTGCGTTTTTGGAAAGGGTCAGGGACTATTTTAACCACTTGCCTACAGGGCACTTATACCCCCTTCCTGCCCCGGCCAGTTTTCATCTTTCAGTACTGTCGCACTTTGAATGACAATTGCGCAGTCATGCAGCATTGTACCCATATGAAATGTGTATCATTTTTTTGAGACAGAGCTTTGTTTTGGTGGTATTTAATCACCTCTGGGTTTTTATTTTTTGCTAAACAAACCAAAAACTGAAGATTTTGAAAAAAAAAAGTTTTTTTCTTAGTTTTTGTTATAAAAGTTTGTAAATAAGTGATTTTTCTCCTTCACTGATGTGCGCTAATGAGGCTGCAGTGATGGGCACTGATAGGCTGCACTGATGGGCACTGATAGGTGGCACTGATGAGGAGGCACTAGAAGGTGGCACTGACAGGCATTGACAGGTATCACTGATGGGCACTGAAAGGCAGCACTCATATATGGCACTAATAGGTGGAACTGATAGGCGGCACTGACTAGCACTGATAGGCAGCACTGACTGGCACTGATAGGTGGCACTGACTGGCAGCACTGATAGGTGGCACTGACTGGCATTGTTAGGTGGCACGGACTGGCACTGATAGGTGACACTGAAAGGCAGCTCAGATGGGCACTGATATGTGGCATTGATGTGCACTGGTAGGCACTGATATGTGGCACTGATGGGCACTGGTAGGTGGCATTGATGAGCACTGACAGCTGGCATTGATGGGCATGGACAGATGGCACTGCTGGGGCTACACTGATCATCAGGGCACATATAACTTACTACACTATGGGAAAACAAATTCCAGGAATGTTTGCAGCAGTGGTATATCCCATACGGCAAGCAGATATTCTGACAGGACTGCAGGAGACCTGCATGGCATCAGCAATCTGAGGAGGAGCCTGCACGCCCTGATGTTACGCCACTGGATCACGGAGGTCCGGCGGCCACTATATTTACAAGCTGGACAGTGCTCATAGCAGCTTTAGGCTGCTTTACTGTTTTTTACTGACTTAAGGATTTGCATTTTAAGGAATTTGCCGCATGTATGTGTATTTTATCATTTTATACGTTGAATAAATTTTTGGACCATAACTTACTACACTATGGGCATTTCCTTTTGTCACTCTTTGGTGAGCTTTTAATTTCCCAGAGCCCCCTCCCCCTGGTGACCATTTCTCTATTCAGAAGAGGTTTGCATCCATATCCTTAAAGGGGACCTCTGGGCACAACGTCACTTTGATGTTATCCTTCCACCCTGGGCTGTTCTCTCCAGTACCATCCTTAAGAAGGCAGACCGTCATTGATTTATATACTGGGCATTATCTATGCGTATCTGGTGAGTGCGCACTTTAACTATTTGTTTGCCGCTCACAAGGATTGTTGATTAACAGAATACCAAGATTTAGTGTCACAACTTCGAATATATATATAATTTTTTAATATATGTATGGACTTTTAATGATATTATCTGCTGTTTATTGAATATAGATGGTGTTGAATATTTATAGCGCTCACAATTTTTACACATATCTTAGTTGAAGGTTTATGGTTTCCTTTTAGTGTACAGCTGCTTTTATTATCACAAGCGCTTGCTGATATTTTACACGTCAGCAATCTACTGATCACTGGTGCAATGCTTGCCAGGCTCCTTTGGACAAAAATAATAAATGAACATTTTTCTACCTGCAACAAAATGCGCAATTATTATTTTTGGCCAAAAGGTGAACTTATCCTTTAATATCATTCTCAGTTACATCATGATACGCTCCTTCGTGGAAAATCGGAAACGGGTCGTCTGATTTTCTCATAGTGTGTAGTAGACTTTAGTCACAGGGACTCTGGGAGCCACAGGTGCTGTGTACAGTAGCCCATAGAAATGAATGGCTGTACAGAGATGTACGTGGTCATATGCAGGTACTTGTGTAAATACGTGCGTACAGACATATGACCCTGGATGCAGGCTGTCTGTATCCAGGGTCACATGTCCGTATGCATGCCCAAATATTATGTTGTATAACCCCAGGTGCCCATGTGCAAGAGTTTTTATTTTCTAAGGGTACCTATCAGCCCCAAAAGTAATCGCTGACATTAAGGCTCCATTGACATCTACATTATTATTATTATTATTATGCAAGATTTACCGTATATAGCGCCAACAGTTTGCTCAGTGCTTTACAATATAACGGGAGATAATACAGCAACAATACAGTTCAATACAAGAGGGTTAGGAGGGCCCTGCTCCTTGGAGCTTACAATCTAAGAGGGAGGGGGGTCGTGGTACAAAAGGTAATAACTGTGGGGGATGAACTGATAAGAGGAATAGAAGATTCCATTATTAGCTGAAGGCAGGATAGGCTTCCCTGAAGAGAGAGGTTTTTGGAGATCACCTAAAAGTGAACAGAGTAGGCGATAGTCCGATACATTGGGTTAGAGAGTTCCAGAGGATGGGGGAGGTTCTGGAGAACAACATGTAAAGAATCTACAAGTTCCAGGAACGCATGCAGAAACGCAAAAAATGCATGTTGTGCTTGCGATGCTAATAATGGCACCCCAAATGCAGGAAGCAAACTAGGCCATGTGCAAAAACATGCAACAAACACAGCAAAATGTGTAGTAAAAACCCGAACACAGAAAAATGCTCCACTAACTACTTTGCCATATTTATGACTCGTAGGACATCCCATTGCTGGCTGCTCTATGCTGTCGAACAAAAAAATGCTCCATAACAAAGCTTGAAAAAATGCATGTTAATATGATGCACAGTTGTGCATGGGGCCTAAAGCTGAATTCCAGTTGTTTTTTTTTTACATAATTATATGGTCCATGTGAGTAAGCATAGGCCAAGCTTGTAGGATTCCTGTGAAAGTGGAGAATCTCTATGGTAGCCACTTCTACTACAGTGATCCTTGCATTCTTCAAGGTCCTGTGCCTAGAGGCTAGTCTACTGCATAGTACCACAGGAGGTTGCTCGCTTGGCACAGGTGCCATTGAAGGAACACTTTGCATTTTTACTTTGCAAGGCATTCTTTGAGTTGACAAGGTGGAGATTGTGACATCACTTCTCCACCTCTCCAACTCTTCCAGTCAGGGAATGCTTTGCATTGAGAACATACTTACTTTGGTCCAATCTAGACCAATGTAACTATGGGAAAATAAGGCCATGCATGGAATTCAGCTTGAAGCTGAGTTCCATCCAAAAGTGGATGCTCCACTTGTTTGCCTCCCCCCCCCCCCTCTACTGCCATATTTGGCACCTTTTGGGGGGGAGGGGGAGTGGATACCTGGTTCTGACAGGTACCAGCTCCCAATTTTGGCTCAGTTTGCCATAGCGACGTAAACCAGAAGTTCAGTCACCTCCTTCCTCCCGCAGTCTCCTGGGAACCTTCCCAGGTCCCAGAAGACAGCCGGACCAATCAGGATGCACAGTGCAACTCGCACATGCGCAGCAGGCACTTGGGTGTCAAACCGCAAGCTGTCACAACCTGATGCCCACAGTTGCTCTGGCTCTGGGGAGAGAAGAAGGACAGAAAGAACTGTGCTGGTGACCACATCGCTGGACACTGGGACAGGTGTGTGTTTATTAAAAGTCAGCAGCTACTGTTTTTGTAGCTGCTGACATTTATTAAACACAAAAACAGCTGGAACTCCGCTTTAACCACTTGCCTACAGGGCACTTATACCCCCTTCCTGCCCAGGCCAATTTCCAGCTTTTAGCGCTGTTGCACTTTGAATGACAATTGCGCGGTCATGCAACACTTTACCCATATGAAATTGTTATCATTTCTTTGTGACAGAGCTTTATTTTGGTGGTATTTAACTAGTTGCCGACCGCAGATAGCCGAATGATGGCTAAACTGCGGCCGGCCAGTTCTGAGTGGACGTCATATGACGTCCTCCCAGAACGCGCTCTCCTGCGTGCCCCAGGGGGCGCGCACCCGGCGATCTCCGTGATCGCTGTGTCCTACGGACACAGCTGATCACGTGATGTGGTAAAAGGCCAATCATACCGGCCTTTTACCACGTGATCAGCGGTGTCCAATGACACGCTGATCACAGGGAAATGCAAGTGCCGGTTCTCGGCTGCACTTTCCTCACGCTGTCAGATTGTGAGGAAAGTACTGCCGAGAACCGGCAGTTGTCAGAGCGGGGATCGGCACCGATCATCAGGGCACTGATGATCAGTGCCCTGATGATCGGTGCCCAGCAATGCCACCCGCAAGTTCCGCCCACCTGTGCCCAGCAGTGCGCCCACTAGCTCCGCCCACCTATGCCGAAGATCACCCACCTGTGCCCAGCAGTGCACCCACCTGTGCCACTCTGCAGTGTCACACACCTGTGCCCAGAAGTGCCACCTACCTGTGCCCAGCAGTGCCACCCACCTGTGCCCACCCACCTGTGCCCACCAGTGCCACCCACCTGTGCCCACCCACCAGTGCTGCCCACCAGTGCCACCCACCAGTGCAGCCCAGCAGTGCTGCCAGTCAGTGCCACCAGTCAGTGCCCAGGGTTTGTGCCAGTCAGTGCCGCCAGTCAGTGCCCAGCAGTGATGCCAGTCAGTGCCGTCTATCAGTACCCATCATCAGTGTCACCTATCAGTGCCGTCTATCAGTGCTGCATATTAGTGCCACCTATCCGTGACACCTCATTAGTGCTGTCTATCAGTGCCGCCTATCCGTGCCACCTCATTAGTACTGCCTATCAGTGCCCTTTAGTGCTGCCTATCAGTGCCCATCAGTGCCGCCTATCAGTGCCCATCAGTGCTGCCTCATCAACGCACATCAGTGAAGGAGAAAAAATACCTGTTTGAAAAATTTTATAATAGAAACAAAGAAACTTTTTTTTTTTTTCAAATTTTTTGCACTTTTTTAATTTATAGCGCAAAAAGTAAAGCGCCCAGTGGTGATTAAATACCACCAAAAGAAAGCTCTATTTGTGAGAAAAAAATGATCAAAATTTCATATGGGTACAATTTTGCATGACCGCGCAATTGTCAATCAAAGTGCGGCAGCGCTGAAAGCTGAAAATTGGCCTGGTAAGGAAGGGGGTATAAGTGCCTGGTAGGCAAATAGTTAATCACCTCTGGGTTTTTTATTTTTTCTTAAACAAACCAAAAACCACTGAAGAATTTGAAAAAAAAACCCTTTTTCTTTGTTATAAAATTTTGTAAATAAATGATTTTTCTCCTTCACTGATGTGCGCTAATGAGGCTGCAGTGATGGGCACTGATAGGCACTGATGAGGAGGCACTGGTGGGTGGCACTGATGGGCATTGACAGGCATCACTGATGGGCACTGAAAGGCAGCACTCATATATGGCACTGATAGGTGGCACTGACTAGCACTGATAGGCGGCACTGTTAGGCAGCCCTAATAGGCAGCACTGATGGGCACTGATGCATACTGATAGGTGGCACTGACTGGCACTCATAGGCAGCACTGATAGGTGGCACTGATTGGCAGCACTGAGAGGTGGCACTGATTGGCATTGATGGGTGACACTGAAAGGCAGCTCAGATGGGCACTGATATGTGGCATTGATGTGCACTGGTAGGCACTGATTTGTGGCATTGATGTTGCACTGATGGGCACTGGCAGGTGGCATGGATGAGCACTGAGAGCTGGCACTGATGGACACTGACAGGTGGCACTGCTGGGGCTACACAAATCATCAGGGCACACTGATCATCAGTGCTCTGATGATCAGCGTACATGTCCCCCCTGAGGGATGCCGATTACCGGCTCTCCTCTCCTATCGAGCTGTCAGCGTGACAGCTAATGAGGAGAGAAATGCAGATAACCGGCATTTCCCTATTTACATGCGATCAGCTGTGATTGGACACAGCTGATCACATGACCGAGCCGACATCTTCAGCTCTTTCCGTTGATTGGTGATCCGCTGTGTCCGAAGGACACAGCACACCCCCCGATCGCTGCGCGCTCCCGGAGCCGCGCATGCACGGTTAGAATGGGACGAAGTCATATGACGTCCTCCCAGAACGAGAGAACTACCTTGCACCCGTTATTGTACTATATGGCGGGCGGGAGGCGGATAAGGCCTCATGCACACAGAACATTTTAAAAACACTGCTGCTGTTGGCAGAAAAAAAAGCTTGATGTTTGTAAAAGTGTCTATTGCTTTTACAAGCATGTAGGAGTGTTTACAAGCATCAAGCGCTTGGGCGTTAATTCTTTTCATTGGCTAGAATAATAATTGGTTCTGTTCATTAAAATGAATTAACGCTCAAATGTTAAACATGCCACACGCATCAAGCGTTTTTTCTGCTAAAACTCTGCTGCTCTGGAACGCACTGGAACTTGTTTTTATTTTAACAGCTCCTAAAAGCCCCTGCCACTAAAAGCTTCTAAAATGTTTGCATGGAGGGGCATTTGGAAGATGTAAAAAAAAAAGTGGCTGTAAAAACCGTCCTGTGTGCATGAGGCCTAGGCTCCATGCACACTAGCATTTATTATAAGCTCCTAGAAGATAAATAGTGTCATCCTATGTGTCCATGCACACTACTTTAGGCTATTAGCATTTTTGAGCTTCAGTGTCTAGAGGCAGAAAAAAAATGTTTTTGTAGAGTTTTTTGGAGCATCTTTCCAGCAGAAAAAAATTCTAAGCACTACTAAAACGCTCCTAACAGCTTTTTTCTACCTTTTTTCCCCCTCTACACGTACTGTAAATATGTTAATGAAACGCTAGTGCTCTGAAACGCTCCGAAATGCTTCTGAACGCTACTAAAATTCCGTTTTAAAAACTCCTGGAATACACTACCGCCATCTTTTATCCAGCTTTTTTTAGTTTAAAAAAAAAATAAAACACTGTTAATAGCATTTTTTCTGCTCCTAGAAGCTAAACAGTGTTATCCTGTGTGTCCATGCTTACTACTAAGTGACATATCGGCATGGATGTCATTCCACTTCCTCAAACTCAATCTTTCCAAAACTGAGCTCTTAGTATTCCCCCCAGCCCATGCCCCCTCCCCTGACTTCTCCATCAAGACCAATAATACAACCATCAGTCCCTCCCCTCATGCCAGGGTACTAGGTGTAATCCTAGACTCCTATCTGTCCTTTCAGCCCAAAATCCAATCCCTGTCCAAATCTTGTAGACTTCACCTCCGCAACATCTCCAAGATAAACCCATTCCTAACCTCGGAAACCACTAAGCAACTTATTCACTCCCTGGTTATATCTCGCCTTGACTATTGTAACTCCCTCCTCATTGGCCTACCTCATCGCAGGCTATCCCCTCTTCAGTCTGTCATGAATGCTGCGTTGCCAGACTAATCCACCTTACTAACCGTTCTGTATCTGCCACCCCTCTCTGCCAATCCCTTCACTGGCTTCCCATTGCCCAACGAATAAAATTCAAAACATCAACAATAACATATAAAGCCATTTATAACTCTGCCCCAAATTACATCAACGATCTTGTCCCTAAAGATCACCCAAACCGTACTCTCCGCTCCTCGCAAGACCTCCTACTCTCTAGCTCCCTTGTCTCCTCCTCCCATGCTTGTCCCCAGGACTTCTCCAGAGCTTCCCCCATCCTCTGGAACTCCCTACCCCAAGCTATCAGACTATCGCCTACTCTGCTCACCTTTAGGCGCACTCTGAAAACCTATCTTTCAGGGAAACCTACCCTGCCCTCAGCTAATATTGAAATCCTCTACTCTTCCAACCAGTCCATCCCCCACAGTTATTAAGTGTTCTTGCATGGCAATACCACTTATTGTTATCTCACAGTTTTTACACTAAATAGACAGTAATATACCAAAACGTGCGGATTGTTCCCGATTGGTGTGCTATTACTTTGTGGAACGATTCGCTGAATGGTTCACGAAATATCGCCGTTTTTGTGGTGAAATTGGTCCCATAAAAATGAATGGCGCAATGTTCAAAACTAGAGTGGGAGCTGACAAAAGCTAGAGTGTGAGATGAAAAATCAGGACATGTTTTCTAAACTGCCATCACTCCATCATTTTCAAGCCCACCTACACAAATCTCATATCAAAACGTTCAGCTATCCCTGCTGCCACTAAAAATGTCCACGGCTAAGCCAAAGTCCTGATAGTTTTCACAATATGACCATTTGTTTGCAACTCACGCCGCCCATTGACATTCATTGAAACTCCACTCTAGTCACCTCAAATTTGAAGGGCAATTTCTAAACTGCGACTGTGCCTTCATTTTTAATATTTCAGAGACATCTATGCATCAAAATGTAGGTCTGGGTCTTGTGATTCTCACAATATAAAGCTCTTTGGTGTAGGATTAGGTGTAGGATTTATAATTTTTAAACTACAACTGTTTGAAGATGGCAACTGCCAGTGAAGTGAGCAAGTTGGAGCAGTTTGTTTTTAACCACTCTTCTTTGCCCTTGCTGTAGAGTGAGTTGCCATAGGATCCCAGGTGTGTGAGCAGGCAGCAGAGTGACAAGCCACTCCACCCAGTTACTCCGCCCACTCCAGTTGTAGACTACTGGTGGAGGCAAGAACACTTCACACAATTTCCCCAGAAATTGTAGCTTTTCTAGTTACCTTTTGTATCACTATCCCCTCCCTCCTAGATTGTAAGCTCCAAGGATCAGGGCCCTCCTAACCCTCTTGTATTGAACTGTATTGTTGCTGTATTGTCTCCCACCATAATGTAAAGCACTGAGCAAACTGTCGGTTCTATATAAATCCTGTATAATAATAATAATATAAATAATACTTTAGGCTAGGTTCACACCTATGCAGTTTGCGTTTGATTCATTTCTGCAGTGTATTTTGAGTTTTTGCACTTGCATTTTTTTTAATTTTTTTTATTGCTAGGCAGATTTAAAGTGCAAAATGCATCAAAAATGCACTGCATGCTTTTCTGCAGTGTTGCCATTGAAGTCTATAGAACCAAAAACGCAACTTTTTGCGTTCAAAAAAGTCCCTGACCCTTTTCAAAAAACGCACCGGGTGAACCTGTCCCATAACAAATCATGTTAAATGGACTGTAGTGCGTTTCTGCAAAACGCTGCGGAAAATGCTTAGATGTGAACCTAGGGGAAAGCTATTAGCATTTTTCGAGCTTCAGCGTCTAGGAGCAGAAAAAAAATGTTTTTTGTATAGTTTTTTGGAGCATTTTTCTCAGGAGAGAAAAAATGCTAAATGCTACTAAAATGCTCCTAACAGCTTTTTTTTCCCTCTATGTGTACTGTAACAATGCTAATAAAACACTAGCGCTCCAAAATGCTCCTAAACGCTTCTGAATGCTACTAAAACACTATTAAAAAACACTATTACCAGCATTTCTGTCCAGCGTTTTTTGAGCTTAAAAAAAAAAAAAAAAAAAAAACACTGATATTAGCATTTTCTCTGCTCCTAGAAGCTAGTGTTATCCTATGTGTCTATGCACACTAGTTATAGCTATTAGCATTTTTCAAGCTTCAGCGTTTAGCAGCAGAAAAAAAATGTTTTTGTAGAAAAAATACCACCAGAAAAAATATGCTAAATGCTCCTAAACGCTACTTAAATGCTTTTTTTCTTTCCTTTACATGTACTGTAAAAACACTAATAAAACGCTAATGCTTCTAAAAAAAACACTATTACAGGCATTTTTTATCCAGTTTTTTTTTTAGCATTTTGCCAGTGATTTTTTAAGCTTAAAGGAAATGCTTGAGTTTTTTGGAGCGTTTCTTCCAGCAGAAAAAAACCCCCGCTAAACGCTCCTAAACATTACTAAAACACTCCTAACAGCATTTTTTCTAGATTTTTTTTTTCTTTACATGTACTGTAAAAACACTAGTAAAACGCTAATGCTCCTAAACGCTACTAAAAAACACTATTACAGGCTTTTTTTATCCAGTGTTTTTTTTTTTTCAGCATTTTTGAAGCTTAA